GGTATAAATAAAAGTGCTATAGCCATCTCAAAGGAAAATGATCAATAAACTAGCTAATATTTGGTTAACAATTCGTGGTAAGCACTTACCAAGTTCTGCGTGTTATGTTAATTTTTAAATTCATTATTACATTTAATCCCCAAAAGAAACTTTATGAACTAGGTGGTGTTATTTGACAAAGAAACTGAAAAACACATTAAATAACTTTAAGATTGTACAACCAGAAAGTAACTGAGCTCAGACTCTTAATTTCAAAGCCAATTCTTTTAAGAATTAACTATGCTATGATGAGTTCCAGAGATTTGGGTCTGGCTCCCAAAGAAGAGAAAGAGAGATACAATGTAGTTTTCAAATGCACGCAGAGCTGGTAGGTAGACTTGATATGAGTTGTTCCTTGGAGAACATCAGGAATGTGATAGAAATACAGATTTATTTTTAATGTAGAAAAGAGTTAATTAATTAGAAAATGTACATTGATGAGATAAGCAACCTTAAAATGTAATTATTGCCTTCCCAGAGGAAATATTCAAGCTGTAAAGAAAACCATATTTTAGGTATTCTAAATTTGAATGAATAACTTGAATTACTTAAAGTTCTTTTTAATTCTGAATTTATTTTAATTTATTTATACTATAATACTTTTCAATGGTACTAACCTAAAGCAATAAAAGTGGAGCATCAAATTACTGTTGATAATTACCCAACTCTTACAACAAAAGTGGTTATGAATATGCCCACGGTTGTTACAAAACTAGCTATTGTAATACCGGGACTGCTGTTAAAGTGTTTTAAAAGAGGAGAAACACCCTATGGAGAGAGTCCAGATACTCCTCAGACAGGGTGTCACAGGATGAGAGTGGCCTATTGGGGTGTCTTTATGAGTAGACCACAGTTTTAACAACACCTAACATTCCTGTGCATTTGCTATATGCTGGAATTGTGTTGAAGGCTCTGCAGGTCTTATCTCTTTTAGTTCTTACCAGAAATCTATTAGGCAGGTAGTATCTCCCCCAGTTTTTATAGTAGAAAATTTAGTCTCGAAGAGTTAAAGCAACTTAACCAAGGTAAGAGACTGATTAATGGTAGAGCTGTATCTCAAATTCCGAATGGTGTGACCCCCTCCCTTTGTGTTATAAAGAAAAACAAGTTTATTACTAATTCTGATTTTCAAATACTCAGTTATAATACCAGCTAACATTTGTGTTTTTTTCTAGTTTTTCAATGAACTTTTATGTTGTCTTAATTAATTCTCAAGAATTGTGCAAGATGGCATTTTTTTAAATCTCCATTTTACAAATAAAGATATTAAAGCTCAGAGCAACTGTAACTTTCCTAAATTTAGACCGTAGTAGATCCAGACATTCCCAAGCTTTGCTGTCTTCCCACTACATCATCACTGCTTCCAAAATGACTTCATACTGGAAGCAGCTGTTCTTGTATGAGAGGAGAATTATTACTGGATTCATTTAGAGATTTGGATAAGTCTTCTGTATATCTATTTAATAATATGTGTTTTTATCTTGATTCCCTGACCACATTATGCCTTCATAGTTAGGAGAGAGAGAGAGAGAGAGAGAGAGAGAGAGAGAGAGAGAGAGAGAGAGAGAGAGAG